ACTCCAGGGAGTTCCTATTTCCTAAATAATTCTCTCATGATGTCACTTCCTGTTACATTTCATCTTGGTCAAATTAAAAGGAAAATATGCCAGTTATGTACACAAAAAGTGTAAAATCGTGTGTATTATTCCCATTTTCTTAAATATAAATGTTTTCTTTGAGTTTTTGTTTTGAAGGATGTTCACGTCACAGGCACTCTAAGATCAGGCTCTGCAGATTGTGACCATTACAATCCAACAGCCTTGGGCTAAGGAGAAGACAGAACCAGTGTAGTTTTGTCTCTTGAGACGGCTCCGTTAAAAAGATCCTTTGTGCATCACGTGACGGTCACAGTCTCCAGTAAATCCTGAGGTAAATACTCAAGATGCTGTATCGACTCAAACACTTTCAGGCAGTCAAAAGATAAGAGCCCAACATCAAAAGTGTCTGAACAGGCAGAGCAAACATTTTGATACAAAGCTGCTCAACGACCGTACCAGCACCTCTTTGTGTTCTGGTCCTTCTAATCAGGTCAAGATGCAAAACAACTACAACTTATTCACATTAAACCYACCTCTCCTATCTAACTGTAAACTATCCATCTTCTGTAAAACTGCAGGGCTCCTACAGTTTAAGGCAAGTTAAATTTAAGACATTTTAAGACTTTTTAATGCCAAGTGAAATCAAATTTAAGACCAATTTCACAATAAACACAAATGACAAAAAAACTAAAACTGTGGCAGAAACTCATAAATCAAAGTATTTTTGGTCAAGTTATTCAAATTTTGCTAATAGACCAATTGTTTTTATCCATATCTAAATGCTATTTTGCGAAATATAGCAAAATGACATTCTTAGCAGTCGGTTTTAAACTTAATTTAACTTCTGGAAATCCTCTAATGACCCAAAATTTGTAGCTTTGTGACCCAGTGGGTTCCCAACCCCAGCTTGCAGTAGATGAAACCAAATTTTTGTAAGAAATATGAATGAATTTTTGGAAAGACAACATTATTAACATTATAAAATGAATTTCACATTGCTCAGATGGACAGTTGTTGAGATATTTGCATGTGAAATAACAGGAAGTGATGTCAAAAGAGAACATCTGAATGGGAATATTTCAAAAATAAGTTAATGTTACCAATTATTTTAATATTTGATACAAATTACAGTCATTCTACTTATAATGTGTTAACATTTTTTAGACTTCTGAAGATTGATTTAAGACCTTTTAAGGCTAATTAAGGCCTTATTTTTGAATTGATGAATTCAAGGCCTTTTAAGACTTTTTAAGGATCCGCAGGAACCCTGAACAGGGTTCATGCAGGTTTCAGTAAATTAAATTTAAGATCATTAGGAATGACACTGAAGACCAAGCCGATGCATTAACAGAAACATTCATGGTCCCAGWAATTTTAACATAGAAACATTTTACTGCCATCAATCTAGCTTTGAAAGAATATMTAATTTTAAAACAAGAAGACCAAATTATTTTAATGAAACGGTCATATGCATGAGACCTTCATATAGACTGCTGTGGACCTGTGCTGCCTCCAATAGGGGGTGGGTGCATGTCCTGGACCTGGGTGGTATAGAGTGTGTA